AGACAACCTCTCGTCAATATGCGTTTTTCGCATTGCATTGCTGCAAAAAACGCATAAAAAAAAAAAAAAACTCCGGGCAGAAGGATATGGTAATGACTCATTCTTCTTTTTTTTTTAAACTTTTTTAAATCTTATTTCCTTCTTCTCTTCACTCCATCCTCACTCCCGCTAATCCTACAATCATAGCGTCCCCTTTCTTTTCCTTTTCTGTTAAACACAGCGACCGTCATACTGACGAGATGCTGTCACGGTGTTAAGACGTATATGACTTAACGGACCGAAATGTCGTATCTCACTCTTACCCCCTTTACACATACTGTTCTTTCTTTCTGTATTCTGTCACACCTTTGCCACTTGGGCCTCCAGGATCAACCGGGGCGCTGCATTCGGCTTACTTGGAGCGGCTGTAGCGGCCATTTGGCTGACAACTTTTCCAGTTGCTTGAAAATGCTGCTTCACCCGAACAGCCTCCTGCTAATCCTAACTTTTGTTTCATCACCTAAAAGGATTACAAGCTCAGTGATTCTACCATAAGAATTATTTGGCAGATCTGGCCATTTTAAGATCTCCTTGGTATGTGTTAAATTTCATCATCTCGAATAATACCACTGCTCGAGCACAGTGAGGTGTGTAAATGGTTTTTCAGCTATATGCTTTGCTACGGTCATCTCCCGAACTGTTGATAGGAAGCACCGATGAGGCTGAGGATAAAATTGAATACATCTACTGCCACATGCTTATGGAAGGCGAAGATTTTGCTGGTTGCACAAAGTTGGCGTCACTTTCACTGAATGAATTAATGGATCGTCATGAGCTGCTTCTCAAAACCGGCATTTATAAGACTCCGGATCCGAGAAGACCACAGCTGAAAAGCGTTAGTTCGTTTAATGCAGTTTATAATACTCATCTTAGAATTCTCGATTCTGTATTCGATTTTAAAAGCTTGAAAATGATAGCTTGGGCTATATTGGTCACTAAATTTGGTGAACGATGGCCACTGATAAGGCGGCATGATTTTTTTTTTTTTCAAGCCAGAATTGGTAACTAGCAGTTTATGAATGGGCGACAATGCGGTCTGTGATTAAGTCGAAATAAGTTCTCTTTTCTTCTCCTCCTCTTTTCTTTTCCATTAAGCACTTCGATTGTCATACCGATGAGGTCCTGTCACGGTGTTGAGTTAAGAAATATATGACTTAATGAACCGAAACATCTTATCTCACTTTTATCTCCTTTTCTCATACTGTTCTTTCATGCTGCAATCTATCGCGCCTTCGCTGTTTAGGCTTTTAGAGACAACCTCGTTGCTACACCCGTCTTGTTACAGATGACTAAATCCTTGAGAATATACACCAATTCTGTTTTTATCAGAATTCAAAATAGTCATCTTAAAATTTATCATGCCACTGGCCTGTTATTATCTTTCATTCACACTGCATGACAATGTGAAATAAAAGTAAAATATCAGTCTTTTCATGCACAAAAGAGAACCTTTTATTTGCTAATTTCACGCCAGCATATTCTGAAATAGCAATTTTCGAAATGAAATGATAATGCCCAACACACAGGTCAAGGACCAAGGGCATTTCCAATGTGCTTCTGCGGGCTGATAAAGAGAATGTCAGGACTGGCAGCAAACTGACCATCAGGCAGTACTGTTGGAGAACCAGACTGTGAATTAATAACTGACCCAAGTAAAAATTTTATGTTTCGCAGCCCAGGCAACTTTTTTTGGCGCATTAAAAGTCAACTTACAAAGTACCGTAAGTATGTTTTTTTTTTTTCTATTTTAGGATAACCCGAAACTAAAAAAGATTGTGGATAGCAATGCAGAAGAATTCGCAACACGTGTCGCACAAATAACAGTGGAGGAATGGCGCCTGTTCCAGGAACTTCAGGAAAAGAAACGGGACTTGGAATCACCGGGCGAGGAACGTCCATTTGAACGTGTGAAACCATCGATGAGAAAACAGCTGGAACGAAGGAAGAAATTATCTTCTTTGCGTGATCATGAAAAATTTGAATCGTACGATGAGAGATATTGAGGATAATGCATGTTTGTGTATTAAAAAAAATATGTTTTTTGATAGATTGCTTGCTTAAAATGTGTGAATTGGTTCTCTAACTTCCAGTATTTTTGACAGTCAGTGCTGCATCACCTGATGGCCAACGTGCTGATAATCTCGATAAGTTAATTTTCATAAATTAACTTTGAACTGCCAACCAATTGTCATAATAAGCCGATTGTAGCAACCAGGTTGACTCTAGAAACCGAAATGGCGAAGGCGCGACAGATTACAGCATGAAAGAACAGCATGAGAAAAGAAGGTAACAGTGAGATAAGATGTTTCGGTCCGTTGAATCGTATATGTCTGAACATTGCAACAGGACCGTATAGGTATGACGCTTCACTTACTTGGTTCAGGTAAACGCCTCTTCACGTAAGTGGGAAATCAAAAAAGATACAAGATTTTCCGTTAATGGGATAACCAATCTCGCCACCACTCGTTCATTCCTTCTTTGCGATGGTAAATTGGTACTGGCATATTCTGCGTTTTGGGCTTTTCTCATCCGGAATTACATAAGTGTATCTCGACGAATGTTCAGACGGAGCTTTTCCATTTCATTGACGATATTCTCCGCTGGAATCTGTGTGCTGAAGGACGTTTTTGATGCTTTTGTAAAATATCGGAGTCTCAAGAGGAGATATTTGCTGCCAGTTGTGCAAAGGTTTTTTTTTTTGCATAGTGCAAAGACTGGTGAGAAAGGAGATTGTGTGTTTGGGTCAGTCTCTCTTGGGATGGTCATCCGTCGTGGCGGGTGGCTTTTTGGTTGGATCATTGTAGGAAGAAGGGAGAAGGTAGATGCCTCGGGACGTCGTATTCGTGTACAGCGAGGAGGACGAGGTTCTTGGCCCAGATTCCATTCGTTTTCGCTTCTGGCACATTAGGCCTTTGGCTACTTTTTGTTGGCCTGACTTGCCCGGTTTAAGCAAGTCTTCACCACACTATCGCACCTTGTTCCCATATTTTTAGGGACCAATCTTCTACCGAAAGACCAGTGTATGAGCACCAGGCAAGGAACGGCAGTGATAACGGATATAATGATAACAATCATAGTAACGACAATAATAATACAGAAATAAATGATAGTAGTAATAACAATAAAATGTGTTGTTATTAAAAGAAAAAGAAAACAATTATAAATTAATAAAAGAGCATGTTCTTTTTTTTTGAAATTTTAATAAGTTGCTGCTTCGTTGCCGCATTTGTTGTCGCGTCATTCGCGATGCAGATGGCAACTCCTCCATCCTACTGTTCATTTTGAGCATCTCTCATTCACATAATTCCGTATGTGTGAATTTTCCTCTCTTCTGCACTAATAATTATTTTCTTTGTTCGCTTAAAATTGCAAAAATAGGGGCAAAACATCTTGTAATAAGCGTCGTACTTATAAAGCATTGTTATCATTCGCCTCTTCATTGTTACCATTATAAATGCTGCTGACTTTTCTATGAATTATATCACTGGTATTTCCAGTGCTATTATTGTTGCTGTTATTATCGTTATTATTGTTATTATTATTATTGTTATTGCGGTGAAGCGTTTTGTTTGTACAGCTTTCTGGACTTTATAAGCTTTATCCAGCTTTCTGGATTTTGTAAAATTGAAATTTTCAGGACCCCATTGTGTTTAGACCGTAGGATGAAGTGCGAAGATTATTACTATTTTTGTCTTTATTATCATTACACTTGA